TATACAGAGGGACTGAACACCGAGAGGCAAAGGTGGGCCAGTGTTTACTGTGTCTCCACCTTATACAGAGGGACTGAACACCGAGAGGCAAAGGTGGGCCAGTGTTTACTATGTCTCCACCTTATACAGAGGGACTGAACACCGAGAGGCAAGGGTGGGCCAGTGTTTACTATGTCTCCAAATTATGCAGAGTGAACTGAACACCAAGAGTGCTGTGGGCCACCGCTTAATTGTGTCTCCACCTTATACAGAGGGACTGAACACCGAGGCAGGGCCAGTGTTTACTGTGTTCCACCTTATACAGAGGGACTGAACACCGAGGCAAGGGTAAGCCCACCGCTACTGTGTCTCCACCTTATACAGAGGAACTGAATTGAAGAGGCAAAGGTGGGCCACCGCTTACTAGTGTCTCCACCTTTATACAGAGGACTTGAACACCGAGAGGCAAGGGTGGCCAGTGTTTACTGTGTCTCCACCCATACAGAGGGACTGAACACAGAGGCAAGGGTGGGCCAGTGTTTACTGTGTCTCCATACAGAGGGACTGAACACTAGAGGCAAGGGTAACACCGCTTACTGTGTCTCCACCTTATACAGAGTGGACTGAAGCACCGAGAGGCAAGGGCCAGTGTTTACTGTGTCTCCACCTTATACAGAGGGACTGAACACCGAGAGGCAAGGGTGGGCCAGTGTTTACTGTGTCTCCACCTTATACAGAGGGACTGAACACCGAGAGGCAAGGGTGGGCCAGTGTTTACTGTGTCTCCAAATTATACAGAGGGACTGAACACCGAGAGGCAAGGGTGGGCCAGTGTTTACTATGTCTCCACCTTATACAGAGGGACTGAACACCGAGAGGCAAGGGTGGGCCAGTGTTTACTATGTCTCCACCTTATACAGAGGGACTGAACACCAAGAGGCAAGGGTGGGCCAGTGTTTACTGTGTCTCCAAATTATGCAGAGGAACTGAACACCAAGAGGCAAGGGTGGGCCAGTGTTTACTGTGTCTCCACCTTATACAGAGGGACTGAACACCGAGAGGCAAAGGTGGGCCAGTGTTTACTGTGTCTCCACCTTATACAGAGGGACTGAACACCGAGAGGCAAGGGTGGGCCACCGTTTACTGTGTCTCCACCTTATACAGAGGGACTGAACACCGAGAGGCAAAGGTGGGCCAGTGTTTACTATGTCTCCACCTTATACAGAGGGACTGAACACCGAGAGGCAAGGGTGGGCCAGTGTTTACTATGTCTCCAAATTATGCAGAGGAACTGAACACCAAGAGGCAAAGGTGGGCCACCGTTTACTGTGTCTCCACCTTATACAGAGGGACTGAACACCGAGAGGCAAAGGTGGGCCAGTGTTTACTGTGTCTCCACCTTATACAGAGGGACTGAACACCGAGAGGCAAGGGTGGGCCACCGTTTACTGTGTCTCCACCTTATACAGAGGGACTGAACACCGAGAGGCAAAGGTGGGCCAGTGTTTACTATGTCTCCACCTTATACAGAGGGACTGAACACCGAGAGGCAAGGGTGGGCCAGTGTTTACTATGTCTCCACCTTATACAGAGGGACTGAACACCGAGAGGCAAGGGTGGGCCAGTGTTTACTATGTCTCCACCTTATACAGAGGGACTGAACACCGAGAGGCAAGAGTGGGCCAGCATTTACTGTGTCTCCACATAATGCAGATGGACATTATGCAGAGGGACCGAACACTGAGAGGCAAGGGTGGGTCTGTATTTACCGTGTCTACATACTATGCAGAGGAACAGAGTGTGCCACTTGTTGACCCTATTAACCTCTACTAACACCTCCATAACCACAAACACCTCAACGTTCTAAGCGGTCGGCTGGGTGGTTGTCATTCGTATGTGCGAACACGTGACGGCGGCTATCTTGAGATACGAACACGGCCAGCTGTGATTGGTCGTTGAATGTATGGAACTAAAATCGGACACTCAACGTCACGAACACCGCTGAGACTTCCATCCCTACTGATGTTCAACAATATTCTTACAAACAGAACGGCGTTCAGTGAAAACATTCCTCGAACCACAGAGACTATGGGAACGTACGCACAAACTGATATTCATATGTATGTGATATATTTTGGTACTCCTGAAAGAGAACGACCACACTGCCTGACTGTGTGGAACTATTTTGGGCAGGTGCCTCGTGTGCTGTCTCTCTAAACTATACCCCTGTGGGGTTTCGGCTACATTCATGGGATCTGAGTGATTTTGAGACATGTTGGAAGCTCAGATCCAGGCTATCCAGGGATATGGAACTTGAGGGGATACCTCATTGTTAAGTACTTATTTTGGGGTACTTTTATTATACATGTCCTGGACCTGAGTGGTAATGTAATTATGTGTGTGCTTATGTTGCTGTCCCCTCTTAGGCCCAGTGGGGAATGCCCCTGGAATGTGTCACCAGAAACCCCTTGCATGGGGACTTTCATAAAAGGGCCAGCTCCCATTAAAACCAGATCACTTCACCCTCAACACGCAGCCTCATCTCATGATTGTAGGGAACAGCTATGCCAACTACACCTGCTTCTCTTACTGTTTGGATGACTACTTGGAATACTATAACACTACTCATACTCATACTAAGGGGGGGAAGGACATTTCTGGTGGTGGAAACCGCACTACTCACTGGGTGACCGCTACATTTGGTGGCAGTGGTGGTGTGGCGAAACCAACCTCACCACAAAGCATTGGAGAAGCCTGGTTGCTCACCTGTTGCCCTTGGACTATGGCCCTATGTTAAAAAGTCTTCTTTTCCCTTGCAGAAAAGGCTTGTTTGTGCCTTTCTGCCCGGCGTTCGGTAGATTCAATCTACCGAACAAACAACAGAATGACTGGACCACCTGTATTGGGAGTGTGTCGGCAATTTACCTCCCAGAAGCTGCGGTTAACCGCAGCTTAATTGACGAATGCTGGGTGGCCTTTGTTCGTTTGCAGAACACGTGGCGGCGGCCATTTTAAAGTCCCGAACAGCCAGCGGTGTTCAGCGCCCAAAGTATTGAACTGGAAATGGACACTTATTTGCGCGAACACCGCTGAGCCGTCAGCCTCCTTGCGTCTGCATTCGGTCATTTAACCGGATGCCTGTTCATTCGGTAGTTTAACCGTATGAACAGCATTACCCCAGATAGCCATGCCTGGAGCCTATTCGTGTAATGAAAGACTATGGGAAAGACTTTGGCTCCATGGCGATTGAACTGTATGTATGTGATCTGAGCGCCATCCGGTAATAATGTGCGCTCAGATCTAAGCTATCTGGGGATAGGTAGAATGTATATGTTTTGTGCAACAGTTGTAACTTTATAAATTTTTATGTCTTTTACTGCCTTTTACTGCCATGTGGTTAATGGAGTTTTACCTCTGTCCTGGGAGATAATTGGATTGCTTCCCAATTATCTCCAGGACAGAGGGAGGGAAATGAGGATGCATTGTGGGGATGTTTTACTTCTGTGTTTCTGTCATTGGTTCATGTCTGTCCTTTGTCACAGTCTCCCATTTGGCCCCCTAGGGGAGTGTCCACCAGGTGGGAGACCTGCATAAATACTGGGCAGGTAGCCCTCAATAAACCAGACCACTGCTTGACCCTCAACACGGAGCTCTGTCTCGTCTTTGGGGGAATTTACTGTATGCTGTTACAGACTGACTGCCCAGTATTTATGCAGGTCTCCCACCTGGTGGACACTGCTGCTTGGGTGCTTTTCCTTTTTGTCTGCTAGCAGCTATTCGTGAGGTTCCAGTTCGGGAGTTTGGAGTGCTACTTTGTATGCAGTTCGGGAGTTTGGAGCATTCCATTGTATGCAGTTCGGGAGTTTGGAGCATTCCCTTGCATTCAGTTCGAGAGTCTGGGGTTCTGCAGTAGCTGTGCCTGTGTCTCTGGAAGGGAAGATCTACTAAACGGCGGTTTAACCCTTTTATGCCTGGGGGTGCCATTACAATTGGTGGCAAGCAGCGGGATCGTTCCTACAGCCAGAAGGACAGCTACAGGAGACACCATTACGTGGATTTTACAATTTGAGGGCAACGCATGTCCCAGTACGGCGACCCTGACAGCACCGGGATGGAACCAGCAGTGGAGTACGATGAGGGTGTCATGGATGACCGAGATGCAGCCGGAAAAGGCATCTGGTACCAGGCACTGGGTATTGCGGAGTACCAGCGGGGCGAGAGACTCCCCAAGGAAGACCAGCGATTGCAGAAGCGACTAGCCTTGCTGATGCCCTTCCTGGGAGAGCAGCCCCTGGAGAAATGGGTGAAGGAATTGGAGCTCCAGGTATGGCAGGAGATTTAGCTTGAAGATGCCTACCAGGCGCTCTGGTGGTATGGGGCACCGTACCTGCCCTGGACAGCCAAGCATGACAAGCCCGAGGGAGAGGAGTTTGATGGTCCTGGCTTGTTATGGGAGACTTTTTCAGAGCCTGAGTTTGGAAGCCCTACACAAGCCCGGTTCTGTGATCTCTTTGAGTGGAGGGAGAGCAGGTATGACTGGGACGACACTCACAAGATTGAGCAAGACCTGGTCCACCTGGTGACCCGAGAGATCGAGCTGGAACAGGGCTACCAGCAGCTGTTCCACTCCAGTGAGAAGGCTCAGCAGGAGAGCAGAGTGACAGACCCAGAGCCAGAACCATTCAGCTGGGACGAGATAGTGGAGTTTTGCTGGGAGGAACCCTAGGTGGCTGGTGGAGATGAGACCGAGGTCTCTCCACCGGTCCTGCAGGGAATTGGGAGCCCAGTCTCCATTCCCCAGCGGCAGGCTGAGTTACAGGGGGCAGAGACAGTTGGTCCTGTCCCCCAGCGGCAGAGTGTCCTACAGGGAATAGAGAGCCCAGTCTCCTTTCCCCAGCAACAGGACACTGTATTGGGAGCGGAGACAGTCGGTCTCCCTCCCCCGTGGCTGGAAGTATATATGGGAGTGGAGCTTGCTACCCCCTCTCCCCAGCGGCAGTGTGATTTGCAGGGAATTGGGAGCCCAGTCTCCATTCCCCAGCGGCAGTGTAATTTATTGGGAATTGGGAGCCCAGTCTCCATTTCCCAGCAGCAGTTTAATATGCAGGAAATTGAGAGCCCAGTCTCTTTTCAACAGCGGCAGAGTGAGTTAAAGGGGGCAGGGACAGTTGGTTCTGTCCCCAGCGGCAAAGCTTCCTACAGGGAATAGAGAGCCCAGTCTCCTTTCCCCAGCAGCAGGACTCTGTATTGGGAGCGGCGACAGTCGGTCTCCCTCCCCTGTGGCTGGAAGTATATATGGGAGAAGAGCTTGTTACCCCCTCTCTCCAGCGGCAGCTTGACATACCCAGGGGAGACAGTAAGCCCCACAACCGTGCAGATGGGACCGTGGTCTCTGCACTTACAGCACAGGGGGTAGGGACGGTCGGTCAGTCCTGCCCCCCCAGCGACAGGGCTGTTTAGCCAAAGGGGAGACAGTCGGTCTCCCCCCCACAGCAGCAGAGCTGTGTATCCAAAGGGGAGACAGTCGGTCTCCCCCTCCAGCAGCAGAGCTGTGTATCTAAAGGGGAGACAGTCAGTCTCCAGCAGCAGAGCTGTGTATCTAAAGGGGAGACAGTCGGTGTAACGGACCGTTTTGCACACCAGGGGTAAAAACCGTTTAGGCGATCGTCCCCCTTTCCAGAGATGCAGGCACAGCTACTGTAGAACACCAAACTCACGAATCGCCAATAAGGGAATGCTCCAAACTCCCGAACGGCATCCAATATAGCACTCCAAACACACGAACTGGAACCATACGAATCACTGCTAGCAGACGAATAGGAAAAGCATCCAAGCGACTTACACTGCTAGCAATCAGTCTCTAACAGCATTCAGTAAATCCCCCCAAAGACGAGACAAGGCTACGTGTTGAGGGTCAAGCAGTGGTCTGTTTAATGAGGGCTACCTGCCCAGTATTTATGCAGTTCTCCCACCTGGTAGACACTCCCCTAGGGGACCAAATGGGAGACTGTGACAAAGGACAGACAAGTTGACAAATAGGACACACAGTCACATTATATTCCCACAATGCATCCTGGCTTCCTCCCCTCTGCCTTGGAGACAATTGAGAAGTAATTCAATTATCTCCCAAGACAAAGGCAAATCGCCATTATGCACGTGGGGATACTAAAACATGAATTACTGTTAAAATACACCATGTGAGACACATCACATTAAAACTATACATTTAACATGTCCCCAGATAGCTCAGGTCTGAGCACACATTATTAAGCGGATGGTGCTCAGACTACACGAATACAGTTCAATCGCCATGGAGACAAAGTCTTTACACAGTCAGTTCTCATGCGAATGGGCTCCATGGGATACCTATCTGGGGTATAACATAGACAAGTAAAACTACCGAACACCGGCCGTTCGTGTACTTTCACCGAACAAGAAGGGAGGTCAGTGGCTTCAGCGGTGTTTGCGCAAAACTGTCCAATTTTAGTTCTATGAATTAAGCAAACACCGCTGTGCGTTCGCATGTTTAAAATGGCCGCGACCTCGTGTTCGTGATACGAATGGCAGCCACCCTGCATTCGTCAATTAAGCTGCGGTTAACCGCAGTTTCAGGGAGGCTAATTGCTGGCACACTCCAGCTCCCAGGTGGTCCAGTCATTTGTGCGGTTGTTCGGTAGATTGAATCTACGGAACACCCGGCAGAAAATCACGAATAAGTCTTTACTGCAGTGAAACAAAAGTCTTTTATCATGGGGCCATAATCCAACGGCAGCAGGCGAGCAACCAGGCTTCTCCAATGCAATGTGGCGAGATTGCTCTCGTCACATCTCTCCCCTTTTCCAAACAGACTAACAGGGTATCTGACCTCCTGCCGGTCAGTGCCCTTGTTAGTCCAGCAGCCCACCCACAAAACACAATCAACAGCACAGCCCACCCACAATAAATGGTTACTACACCTGGGTAGAGGAGAAGCTTGTCCATGTCCAGGTGCCTCACCACGGCTGTGCTGGGTACGGGTATGCTGACTTGGTGGGTTGCTGCGTGGGCAGAGACCAGCGGTACTCTGCCCTGTTGCCAGCGCTACTGGGAAGGTAGCCTGGTTGAAGCCTGGTTGTTGGAGGGGGAGACCGACTGTCTCCCCTTTAGATACACAGCCCTGCTGCTGGAGACCAACTGTCTCCCCTTTAGATACACAGCCCTGCTGCTGGAGACCGACTGTCTCCCCTTTGGACACACAGCTCTGCTGCTGGAGACCGACTGTCTCCCCTTTAGAGACCGACTGTCTCCCCTTTAGATACACAGCCCTGCTGCTGGAGACCGACTGTCTCCCCTTTAGACACACAGCCCTGCTGCTGGAGACCGACTGTCTCCCCTTTGGACACACAGCTCTGCTGCTGGGGGGCAGAACCGACCGTCCCTACCCCCTGTGCTGTAAGTGCAGAGACCACGGTCCCATCTGCACAGTTGTGGGGCTTACTGTCTCCCCGTGGTACGTTAAGCTGCCGCTGGGGAGAGGGGGTAACAAGCTCCTCTCCCATATATACTTCCAGCCGTGGGGGAGGGAAACAGACTGTCTCTGCTCCCAATATAGATTCCTGCTGCTTCGGAAAGGAGACTGGGCTCTCTATTCCCTGTAGGACACTCTGCCGCTGGGGGACAGGACCAACTGTCTCTGCCCCCTGTAACTCAGCCTGCTGCCGGGGAATGGAGACTGGGCTCCCAATTCCCTGCAGGACCAGTGGAGAGACCTCGGTCTCATCTCCACCAGCCACCTAGGGTTCCTCCCAGCAAAACTCCACTATTTTGTCCCAGCTGAATGGTTCTGGCTCTGGGTCTGTCACTCTGCTCTCCTGCTGAGCCTTCTCACTGGAGTGGAACAGCTGCTGGTAGCCCCATGTTAAAAAATCTTCTTTCCCCTGCAGAAAAGGCTTGTTTGTGCCTTTCTGCCCGGCGTTCGGTAGATTCAATCTACCGAACAAACAACCGTGGTGTTCGCGCAAAACTGTGTCCGATTTTAGTTCCATGAATTAAGCTTTGCACACCACTGTGAGTTCGCATGTTTAAAATGGCTGCGACCTCGTGTTCGTGATACGAATGGCGGCCACCCAGCATTCGTCAATTAAGCTGCGGTTAACCGCAGCTTCAGGGAGGCTAATTGCCGGCACACTCCAGCTCCCAGGTGGTCCAGTCATTCGTGCGGTTGTTCGGTAGATTGAATCTACCGAACACCAGGCAGAAAATCACGAATAAGTCTTTTCTGCAGGGAAACAAAAGTCTTTTATCATGGGGCCATAATCCAACGGCAGCAGGCTAGCAACCAGGCTTCTCCAATGCAATGTGGCGAGATTGCTCTCATCACAGTCGGTCTCCCCCTCCAGCAGGCTCCAACCAGGCTACTTCCATGGTAGCGCTGGCACTAAGGCAGAGTGCCGCTGGTCTCTGCCCACTCAGCAACCCACCAAGGCAGCCTACCAGTCCCCTGCACAGCTGTGGTGAGGCACCTGGACATGGACAAGTTTCTCATCTACCCAGGTGTAGTAACCATTTATTGTGGGAGGGCTGTACTGCTGATTGTGTTTTGTGGGTGGGCTGCTGGACTAACAAGGGCACTGACCGGCAGGAGGTCAGATACCATGTTAGTCTGCTTGGAAAATGGGAGAGATGTGGCAAAACCAACCTCGCCACGAAGCATTAGAGAAGCCTGGTTGCTCACCTGTTGTCCTTGGACTATGGCCCCATTTTAAAAAGCCTTCTTTTCCCCTGCAGAAAAGGCTTGTTCTTGCCTTTCTGCCCGGCGTCCGGTAGATTCAATCTACCGAACAAACAACCGCATGACTGGACCACTTGTATAGGGAGTTTGTCGTCAATTTACCTCCCAGAAGCTGCGGTTAACCGCAGCTTAATTGACGAATGCTGGGTGGCCTTTGTTCGTTTGCCGAACACGTGGCGGCCGCCATTTTAAAGTCCCAAACGGCCAGCGGTGTTCAGCGCCCAAACTATGGAACTGGAAACGGACACTTATTTGCGCGAACACCGCTGAGCCGTCAGCCTCCTTCTGTCTGCATTCGGTCATTTAACCGGATGCCTGTTCATTCGGTAGTTTAAACGTATGAACAGCATTACCCCAGATAGCCATGCCATGGAGCCTATTCGTGTAATGAAAGACTATGGGAAAGACTTTGGCTCCATGGCGATTGAACTGTATGTATGTGATCTGAGCGCCATCCGGTAATAATGTGCGCTCAGATCTAAGCTATCTGGGGATAGGTAGAATGTATATGTTTTGTGCAACAGTTGTAACTTTATACATTTTTATGTCTTTTACTGTCTTTTACTGCCTTGTGGTTAATGGAGTTTTGCCTCTGTCCTGGCAGATAATTTGATTACTTCCCAATTATCTCCAGGACAGAGGGAGGATTCATTGTGGGGATGTTTTACTTCTGTGTGTCTGTCATTGGTTCATGTCTGTCCTTTGTCACAGTCTCCCATTTGGTCCCCTAGGGGAGTGTCTACCAGGTGGGAGAACTGCATAAATACTGGGCAGGTAGCCCTCAATAAACCAGACCACTGCTTGACCCCCAACACGGAGCTCTGTCTCGTCTTTGGGGGGATTTACTGTATGCTGTTAGAGACTGATTGCCAGGGGTGTAAGCCGCTTGGGTGCTTTTCCTGTTCGTCTGCTAGCAGCTATTCGTGAGGTTCCAGTTCAGGAGTTTGGAGTGCTACTTTGTATGCTGTTCGGGAGTATGGAGCATTCCCTTGTATGCCGTTTGGGAGTTTGGAGCATTCCCTCGTATTCAGTTCGAGAGTCTGGTGTTCTGCAGTAGCTGTGCCTGTGTCTCTGGAAGGGAAGATCTACTAAACGGCGGTTTAACCCTTTTATGCCTGGGGGTGCCGTTACAGGTGGGATGGTCCTTTTTCCCTAGAGACAGTGTTACACGAATGGAGAGTGAGTATGACAAGCTGAAAATACTGACCCTAAAGGATCTTTTGGAAAGCTGTGGGCGTCCCGGTAGCAACCGACTGCGATGGGAACTGATAGTGGATTTAGTCGAATTGGACCGAACAACTGCAATGGCCGAGATAAATGCCCTGAACATGGAGGAAGGCGAAAAGCTGCGGGAAGTTTGGTTATGTTTGGCTCTGTATGGGCCGAACCCATCGGAAAACTTGATCACCCAGGTATTCAGTGCAGTGGAAGCCGAAGCCCGAGAAAAATGGGAATATCAGCTACGGCTAGCCACAATACAACGGCCCGAAA